AAGGGGGAAATAGTCAGAAATATTACTATTGGTCCGCACAGCTGCAGTGGGTGCATCATATATTATTTTGATCCAGGTCAAGAATGAGGATCCAAAGCCAAATTTTTCTAGGACGGCAAACAGGTACTGCCATTCTACACGATCAAATGCTTTTTCAGCATCCAAGGAGATCACCACTTCTGTGTGCTCCCCTGATGCTGAGTGTGGGGTATACAGAATATTGAATAATCTGCGCATATTATAAAACGACTGTCTACCTGGGACGAAGCGTCAGCATATTTACGGTCCACCTCCGCTATGTTATAAGATAGGTCGCTCAAGCGTTGTTTGCGTTTCCTTCTCTCATAGACTGTATAAGATATTATCTGGCCCCTGAGATAGGCCTTGAGAGCCTCCCACACAGTGGTTAGTGGCATATCAGGTGTGCGATTGAATTCCAGAAAACTATCAATTTGTTGGGAGATAAATTTCTTAAAAGAGTCACAACAGAGGGTCAAACCGCCATGTGCGGCGTGGTCTGATGCACTCTGGGAAACATATATCCAGCTGTACCGGGCCGTGGTCAGAAATGACAATGCTATTATACTGGCTATCCTGACTTACCGGTCAGGAGTTCTGCACAAACACGTCCTCACATGTCACTGCTCGCTAGCGCCCCATTATTCATTATTTCTTCATTATTTACATTTATACTGCATACAAAAAAACATGACAAGGTTGGTACCAATGAGCCCACTACAGCCTCTGACAGACATTAATGTCTGAAGTATTTGTCTGTGCAGTTGAGGTTACCATGACACCTGAAGGTAGGAGGACAAAAAGCTTCCCATTTTGGCACCAGTGCAATGAAAGAGAACTTCAATTCAAAATCAGTTTTATTTAATCAATCCATAAATAGAAGGCAAAATGTACATACATCTTTAACAATAAAAAATAAATCTAATTATCATTCATATATCAAGACCTGTTTTATTCGCATAAAAACTTGTCAAACATCCTCTGAACCAACAATAACTTTTCAGCTTCTCCCCTCTCACACTCCTTTATGTGTGTTTAAGCCCAACTAGAACTCTGTAGAGAAATAGAACCACATTCCCCAAAATATATTCACTGCAACAACACAAAAGGGACCAGCAGCTGGGATATCGGGGTCATACTGTGGCAGAGCTTAGGCAATTTAAAGTTCTTTTTGCTCTTTGTTTTTGATGAGGTGACTTTTGATAAGTTGTTTGGGACCCGGGGATGCGTTGCTCCACTAAAAATGTAAATATGCAGTGATTTATAAACAGATTTTGACTTTACACCTTCTCCTGATGAGGCATAAGATTTACGCCCAGTCTCAGCAAGAAGAAGGCCTAAGCTGAGATGGTGCAACCGGCGTAACTATTAGGTCAGACTAAGACCAAGTTACGACTGACTTAGACTAATACACTGCAGGAAAAGAGAGATTTTTGGCCCCGTAAATACCTAAAAAAACATCACTAAATCCCGGCAGTTAATGGCTGCTTATAGCCTGTAAAGTCTGCGTTCGCATATGCCAGAAATTGTCCAGAAAATTAATCTTCAGTATAGAAACTGGGAAAATCCGAACAAGACTGCTTGCTCAGCTGTAAAAGCATGTCGCTGCTAATCTAGATGTCCATTTTGAAACATGGCAGAATAAGTGTAAATCTACAGATCACCAACATCATTAGAAGAAATGCAAGTGGAGAGATTCTTCTCAACCTGATCTAAAAACCTACTTAGTCGTGTCTCATTTCTCAATCTTAAAATGCATAAGACCAAATAACTTGGTTAAACTCATCTGAATGTTTAAGTATAACAACACAAACCATCTACCTGCAAGAGGAGGCTAACTTTTCAAACTGAGCTGGAGAAATTTTACACAAATAAATAACTTTAGGTTCACAGTGGAATTGATCAACATGAACATCAGCGTGAACCAGGTAATGTACATGTGTAAAAAACCAGCAAAGCAAAAAAAAAGCAGCATCTCCTAGTTGTTTCCATTAGTTAGTCATTGATAATAATAAAGTTGATATAATTGGTTCAAATCTGACCATAAAAAAAGCATTAAACCAACTACAGTATAAGTCTAGACAGTCACTCAGTTATTAAGTGTATGGTATTGAAAGAAAACAATCAAACCCGACAAATCGATTGCTGACACGTCATAAATCAATAAATACATCATCTTCTCGATGCAGTATCGCTGACTTCAACTCAGCTTAAAGTAAAAATTAAGAAATAGACAATCTTCATGTTGTCAGCCGAGAAATTGTCCAGCAATATTTGGCGATCAATGAATCTATCAGTGCTAATAATCACATTTATTAACAACATCCTGATTAGATATCACATTGTTGATTAAAGGCTCCCTGAAGTCCATGCCTTCTCTCATGTGACTACACACAAGATGTGTGTATTATTAACATTTCATATGAGAAAATATAACCTTGCCAAAAGCGTGGAAGGATGCCATTTCAAATCCCTGAACAGGTAAGGCGAGGTGCAGTCAGGTAAGGTCAGGTAATGATAAATGCTTTTTCTACCAAATTAGCTCTTGTTGAACTGGTTCTGTTAAGATTCTTTGAACCTTGGTTCTATCCAGCGATCCAGCCTGTGTTTCCACCAGTTCTAAGTGGAACTGCAATCGGATGGATCATCAACAGAGGGCGCTGCACAATGCACAACAACCTCTAGAATATGACACTTTGGTTCCAAAGGAAAACCAGCTATTTTTTGGTACTAGTTGGGAACAAACTTTTCAGGTTCCGAACCAATTTATTTTTGGTCTAAATGTTCTGAAAATTATGAGCAGGAACCGAGACAGAGCCTATAGGTGGAAAAGGCCTATGCGTTAAGATACCTTCATCTGCACCCTGAGCCAACTTTAGATTATTAAAAGTTATTTTCCTGAGGGGGTCAATAAGCCTCTCTGGATAAAAAGACATGAAAAAAGACTTCATGAACTGCGGTACAGGAAAGACTAGAATGGGCAAGAAAAATGCAAGATTTTTCCCATTTCTATCATTTTGTTTTCCTGACAATCCAGCAGATCCTGTGAGTGAATCTCATGTTGAATTTCTGCTTTTACTGGAATGTGTTGGGTTCTACTGGTTGGGCTTGTCCTGGCTGAACTTAAACAGGAGGCTCTTGGCTCCATTCTGCCATGAATACAGCGTCTCCATGGGAGTTTTTCCATCCTGCACAGGAGATACAAACACACAAGACCGCAAATCAATGCTGGAGGAATGAAGCTTGTGTTCTTTAGATTCCCCCTGTAGATAAGTACGGTACAACAAGGTAGTTTTTTAGCTCCAGTAATACTCCTTTACTTATAATGCCTATAATACTTATAGGCATAATAAGATAAATAATCTTTATAATGTGGTATTGCTACTTTTACTACTAAAGTCCACTAAAAACATGTTTTTCTTCTTGTTCCTACAGTTGGATGTTTGAAGCTCTGCAGAGTTATGTATGTGCTGACGTGCTGTTCAGTACTTACACAGTTCTTGGTGTTGAGACTGGCCCCGTACATCATCAACAGCTTGATCATCTTGAATCTGTTTATTCTCACAGCATCATGCATGGGTGTGTCTCCGTCCTTCAGTCGGGGAGAAAAAAGGCATTCAGCACAGGTAATCCTTTTCCAATCTGAATGAAGTGTTTCTTTCAACAGCATCTCACAGAGTGTGCAAAAACAACCAATCAGAGCCAAGAAAGATAGTTGATTCTTGAGTCTTATTATCAGATCGTCAAATATTGATGCTGGGAATGAGACTCCACAATCAGCTATCTTCAAGCCACCAACTCAAAGTGTCTTTCCATTTTTCTTGGCTCTGATTGGTTGTTTTTGTTAGTGCCAGGTGGATTCTTACAAATTTTATTATGAGCACTAGGAGGAGTCAGATGTTTTCACAGATTATCTGTCCTACTGTCAGGATATAGTGAAGTTTCAGCAAATATGACACAAAGTTATTCTTATAAAAGTTACCTACTGCATCCCTGATACTACATCTCATCAAATATGGATCCCCTGCCTGATGTGTATTAATTTGGGTGTCCTTTACCTATTTATTTATTTAAATTACCTACTGCAGCTTTAAGCACTTAAGATAAAGGCTGGAACCACTGGTCAAGCCTACTCTTGTTGGCATTACCAGCTCCACAGTGAAGAGATCCAGCACACTCACAATTCATGCCTCACAGCAACATGAGAGAGTGCTCGCAGCGGGAGAAGAGAGGATTCAGAAGTACAAAAAAACAATCTGTATCCAAACTTATATTTTCCCTTGCCTGGCTGTCTGCACAGAGAAAGGAACTCATGTTACCCAACCTTGTCTCTGGGGTAGGAACTGGCTCCCTGGGCGACGGAGGGAGCTGCAGCGGGGGGCACTGCCTCCTCGCCGGCCCAAGTGAACTGCGTCCCTCCAGCCTGAACACACCTCCAAACGTTAAACCAACCCTGGGTGTGGTGTTGGGGTTGGGTGGTGTGGTGTTAAGAGAAGAAAGAATGAATGAATGTAGGCTTTTAAATCTCCTCACCCTGCTCTCCGATGCAGCTCAGCCCCCAGGAGCTTTCATACCCTCCACGCGTGTCCCTTTTAAAAGCCTGGGGGGTGAAGAAAGCGTTCCCTGGAACTGAAACCCCGATTGAAAAGTTACATTATACTACTATATCTTCATATATTATTATTATAGCCTCAGCTCCTCAAGTAGTTTTCATTAAAGAATGATAATTTGTCAGGTGTAAACATTTATTTTTTTAGCATATTTTAATGATATCTATTGCCATGCTTCTACCCGCAGAGGCAGACGTTGCTGTGTGACACTCACGTGGTCGGATACATTTGGGTTTCCTCCATCACTCAGGTACTTCTCCACCACGGGCAGTTTGTTCTCCATAGCTGCTGTCAGAAACAGCTGCTCATCCACAGTCTCTGGCTGAAAGGTATATGCAAAAAAACTTACATAAGAACTCTAGGTAAAGGAAGAGTGTACCTGTTTATGTTAATATGACCAACAAACACACAGAGCAGAGATCTCAGCAGGGAGTTGCAGTCAAGTACACACTGGACCTTAAAACCAGCAAAATGAAGAATCTCACCACAATTTCAGGCTCTGGCTGCTGTTTCTTGTGGATGGGAGACTTCCTCTCCCTTCTCCTCTTCCTCAGCTGCAAGATGTTGAACAGGTCATCCACCGTCTCCAGTTTCAGCCTGCCACTGTTATCCGTCTGACATGGCAGTGACAAGACAGAGGGCTTCAGCACAACAACAATAACAACAACAACATGAAACAAGAAACAAGAAACAAGAAAAGATATGTATATATATATAAATATTTTACAACCTTATCATTTGCTTTGCAAGTAACATAATGCTAATCAAAATAATGGCGTTGAGTAAAAAATACAATCATTATCCCCGGAAACTAAATAAATTGTAAGTAGAGAGTCTTACAAAATGTTAAGCACCACAGCCTCACAACTGTACTCAAAATAGTATCTGAGTATTAGTATTAAAGGAAATGTTTTTACATACAGAAAAAACTCAAAATTAGATTGATTCTGAAGATTTATTCAATGGAATGATGTCAGCACCATCATTACGAGGTTTAGAGTTTACTCCTGAGTGGATTTATAACGAGAAAGTGTTATTCTCCCAAAGGCCTTCAGGTGGCAGCATGTGCCAGGAGACAAACTCAGGAGGCAAACTCAGGAGGCAACAATCGACTTTCAAAGACTGTCATTGACCTCCTAGATCATACACCAGATTTTGATGTCTCATTAAAAGTGAAGCATTAATTAATTAATTCTCCCATATTTTCTGTACCTTCAATAAAAGGCAAGAGCTAATAAATAATCTAATAAAACAAACATTAAACTGCATTCTGAGTTCTGTGGACACATGTTTAAACTATTTGTAGTAGTAAACTACTATTGTACTGTACTTTCTTACTGCTTGCATCAATACTACTAACAATACACTCACTATTGCCTCTGACAATACACCTGCGATTAGTATTGCTAATACTGCTCTTAATGTATTACTATCCATTGTTACTAATACCACTACGCCTCCATAATACTCCTACTATTATATGTACAACTACATCGCTCATCAACCACTGTTATCATTACTAATACTACTAATACCACTTTTACCATTAGGACAATTAAATTAGGAAATATCCCCTAAAATAGGATTTTTTATAATTATACAGTGTCAACAACTGCAGATAAATTATACTTCCCACTACAGTGTGGAGCAGTATTTCACCAAAAGTCTAAGACCTCTCAGGCACTTTACCACCAGTTGCATGGTCTTCCAGAAGAGAAAAGACTTTAGGTGAATAGTCCATTCCATTCACTATATGACAACTTAAGTTAGTGTTTCTCAAATGAGGGTATGTGTGCTCCTAGGGGTCATTTGGAGTACAGCAGGGAGATTTAAAAAGATTAACTTAATATCAGTCACGAATAATTCCTAAGTTCACAAAAAAATGGTTTCATAAACCACATTTTATATTCAGTAGTCCTATTTTCATTGCAACCGTTAACTGCAGTAAAACCTGCCTTCCCTGCTAGTTTGTGAATGAGTTGGATCTATGAGCTGGCTCCTTAAGGTGAATTATCTTTTTTATAAATTAGGTTGCTATAAGACAGAATAAGAGCATGATCCCTGTAGAATACCTAAAACAGATATGCCTCACTTTGGTCATAAGATTAAGACCCCAGACTTGCGCTGGTTACTAACACCCAAAACATAATTCAGTACCAATAAAATGTTTAATACACGTGTAATAGTTTTAGTATTTATACCAAGCCTAATATACAATAATGTTATATACATTTATAGTTCAAAACATTGCAAAATTTTGGCTGAATTATAAAAGCCAGAAGTGGTACTAAATGAAGAGCTGTTTGGGAGCTGAATAAGCTGGCTGTAACTGCTGATCTGAGCCAAGCGATCCACACCACTGTCCTCCACTCGATTTATCTGACAGCCATTACTTTACAGAATATTGTGGTCAGTTTATAAAATATGATGCATTTTTAATGATTAAATATGCAATGCAAATCCATTAATAATATTGATCCAATATACTAATTTACTTTGACAGGATCTATTCTGCATGCCAAGTCCTTGCAGTGAATTTAGGCTAGCTGATAACACTTTATAGTGCAAACCTTTTACTTGTAATGGAGTGTATTTACTGGTATATTGTGGCACTGCTACTTTTACTTATAAGTAAGGGATTTGAATAATTCTTCTACTATTGCTAACATTTCTACTGTTAATATCATTACTACTTTACTGTTGCTGTTTATGATATTATCACTGCTACAGCTGCTAATTATTAATGTTACAAAATATGTACGTTTATATTAGTTTGTATGGACCTCAATAACTTATACCTCTCGTCTCTGGTGACACCAGGACTGCTGTTGTTATCTGTGTATTCTTACATTGAGAGCTGCCACGCTGACTTCTTCCTGTTCACTGCCACTGTCACTCTCCTCTGATCGATCTCCGCCCACCAGCTCCCTGTGGGACCTGCGGTCATCCTGCTTTTCTTGATTGACAGCCGCCTCATACACGCCCCCTTGGAAGTCATCCGGCTCTTTGCCCTCTGACCTTTTACTGGACACCTGAAGGTGAGATGAGATGATGCTGTAAACTGTCACACGAACACACAGGAGAAATATATAAACCCTGAGTTAAAGGACCAGTGTGTAGCATTTAGCCTATTGGCAGAAATGGAATATAATATTCATAGGTATGTTTTCATTAGGAATCATTTTGTTACCTTAGAATGAGCCGTTTTGAAACTACAGACTCTGGTCAGTAGACTTCTATGAAGACGCCATGATAAACCCCCATGTTTCTACAGCCCGATTAAATTCAATTTAATTTAGTTCCATTTAGTTCTATTCAATTCAGTTAAATTTTATTTGTATAGTGCCAGATCATACCAGAAGTTATATATAAAGACTTTTCAAATAGAGCAGGTCTAGACTGTACTCCTTAACAATACAAAATAATAATTGTAATAAAAATAATTAATAATATAATTAAAGCCCACAACAGACAAACTAAAACACTGACTCTAGATAGTGCCGTTTTTTGTGTTTAGTTGGTTCTCCTTCATGCTTGTAAGGGCAGGGTGAAATAGTTGAGTTGCAATCTGTAGTTACCCCTGCTAGATGCCACTAAATCCTACACACTGGACCTTAAACATGTGTCACACACTGAGGTTCTCTGTGTTTTTACGAAACGTTTAGTGAGCTCAAACACATACAGTAAGACTGTAACACTAAACATTGACAAGAAAAAGCAAAGATAATGAGAGAATGAGTTTGGGTGAAAAGGCTGATCTCAGCTCAGCGGGAGTGCTTTTGTTTGTGTTGGTGCTGAGTTGAACACATGAGCAGCTCTCAGCATTTGGCCGCTGTAGAACCAAACCCTGCTGCTGACAGAGGAATGTAAACACAGCTCAGCCTCAACACATTAACACACACTTCAGCTCTTTAATGACAACTGTTTATATGCTATTGAATCACTCAAGTAATCGTTTAAACTGTGTATAGTCTTCATCAGGGCTTCCCAAACTGTTTCATGTCGAGGATCTCCACAATAGCACATTACATTAATGATCAAACTGGGATCACTATAAATCACAATCAGTTAAAACCGCCAACCCTATTTCTTTCCTTGTTAAAAAATGTGATAAAACTTATTAAATATTCTGTTCCTCCTTTTGCTGGAGACTTCCTACAATGCATTCAAGAACCCCTGTTGGTCTCCAAGATCCTAGTTTGAACACCACTAGACTATAAGTCATTCTTACAAACATTTAATCACTAGGGAAGATAAACCTCAAGGTGAAATGTGCAGTAAAAACAATACTGGTCAATGATCCTTAGTAATCAGTTTGCTATTTAATTACCTTAATGTTTAATCACCTAATTTAACTTACTGATGCATGATTAAGATGGAAATGGAAAAACTATTAAGAAATCTGTCCAAGAAAGCTTCATTGGTCACAGCATCACTACTATACATTGTTTTAATATTTTTTACATAAGCTTAGTTAAATAAAGGTTTTCTTTGTTTAACAAAATTTGAGGATGGTTTAAACCAGAGAAAAATAATCTTTTTGTATAAAAAAAAATATTTTTTTTATCCCTAAGAAAATCAATTCTCTAGCTTCTCTTTCTAATAAGAAGAACATTTCCACTCCATGTGTTTTCTCACACATTTTCTAGAGTATAAAATCCTGCAGCTCCTTTTTGGCACTGCTGTCATTTACAAACATCAGCAGATCTTACCAGTTCCTCAACGCTGTGCAGTCCCATTCTTCCCCTTGATGTGAAGTAGTTGAATCACTGTAGGTAACTGGAGTTAAGTCCACTAGTCTTCTGCTGTGATGGTCAGTGTCTGTCTGTCTCTCCTGCCTGCAGCCTCTTATATAGCCCTGTCAAACCTTAACTCAGATCACATTTCTGCCTTCATGTGCTCATTTGGCATGCTCAGTTGTACCAACATCACCCCACCCCTTCCCCATATCCACACCCAGCCCCTCCCACTATCAGTTCTGCCCAGTTTGGGCTTCTACTGGCTTCTCTTTGTCACCACGCAAAAATGGAGGTGAGGTAAGAGGTGTCACTCTGCCTCACACTCTTATGGTGTTCACATTTATGGGCTGTGAGACAATGTGAAATAAACCTATTTCTTAGTTTTTAGAAATACAACTTAAACCCAAGACTGAACCTATACTGTGACATCTACCACTGGAGTACCGGTTTGAAGCCTTGAGTTTTCATTATTGCTATCACCATCACCAGAATTGACCATATCTTCTACGCCCTTTGTCCTGATGGGATAGGTAACCACGCCCTAAAGCAACCAAAAGCCCTAAAAGCGACCATAGTTAACAAAATGAACATCATGCTGTATGAAAGAAGACTAAAACTAGAGACCATAAACTAATTTTCTCATAAACAAAATCAGACGTCCACCTAAGCTTAAACTTGACAGGTTAGTTACAACGCATTTGTCCGAAATCAACCATGTTGAACCGCCATGTTTCTACGGGAGCCCAGAATGGACAAATCAAACACAGGCTGTATACTGACAGCCAGTGTTTGTCTGTAGACTGGTGTTTATTGAGTGTTTCACAGCTGCTGTAGTTTCTCCTATAGATTTCATATCCCGTTCTCATTCCCAGATCAATCAAATACAGATACGAGCAGTTTTCATTCACCATTAGATGCCACTTAATCCCACACACTGGTCCTTTAATGTTCTTTTTCTTTACTCTTTTTCAGCAAACACTGGGAAGCAAGATGAAGCCAAAATAAATTATTCATAACATTATGTCATTTTACATTAAAAAAAGGGGGGGAAAAAAATATTTTTTTTAAGTTGATCAGTCGTAGAAGGAGACCACATGCATTAAGGTTAACACCCTTTTTGGTAAAGCAGGTTTTTACAGAATAATTACAGAGTGATTCATCTTCTCAAACACAGACAGTCTTTGACAGCGTCACGCTGGGCATGTGGCCACAGAAATGCAGTGACATCACTGTGAGGAGATAGGTTCATGGTTGAGAAATAAATAGTCACACTTCCAAACATCTTGTCACTGCACTGCAGCCAATCACAGATCGAGTTCAAAGGTCAGCAGGATGACTGACGGTCTGACTGACAGCCGGCAGCGGATAACGTCATGTCAGGTGCTTTCTGTCCTGCTGGTAAATGTGGTCAAACTGCATATTACACATCTCAGAACGGTGTACAGTACATACTCTGACAGCGATGACACCTGACGGAATGTGATGGTCACAAGCTGCGTGAGCTCACTGTCCGCCAATCAGAAGCAAGAGAGTCAGGTGTAAACTCAATACAAAGTTAGTTAAAAAGTGATTTTGAGTTTCAAAGATTTTTTCGACACCTCAGCTATGTTTAATACTTACCCTTCAACTTATACTTGAACAAGCAAAAAAACAAAGTCTGACGTATAGCTGAGGCTCATGTAATGTCAGTAAGTATTTTGCAACACATTCTTACTTCTAACTCTTAAAATACTGCCGCTTGGCCCTCTGCTTTAAAATATTCAGTTGCAGGTGCCCCTTAGTCAACTGATTTTTACTGACTCTAATCAGTGCTTGTAGTTTCATCCAGCACTTCCATTTTTACTGCCACTTCAGTGTCTGATGGAATTTTTACAATTTTTTGCAACCTCTTGTTATGTGCCTCTCATGTGTGAACGCACACACCTTCATTTGACACACCTTCCATAAACTCAGAACAAAATGTTTTTGGGTTCTATATAGAAGAATATAACAGATAAATAAAATAACAGAACAATGATACAGATAATATGACAAAAGTAAAACTGCCCGTCAAGAAGAATAATTGCCTATCTAGAGTTACAGAAAAATACAGACATTACAACAATTAGTGTACAATGATTTAAGATCAAAATAAAAAATAACAGTAGTCTGCTTATTTTTGTTCTTTTAGACCTTCACATCAAAACTGAGCCGTCACTCAGATGTTTGCGGCCGTGCTGTCCACGTTTGACCCCTGTATTCCTCTGGAAGTAAATTCATAGCCACAAGCTATTTTTGAACCTGACCTTGGGACTGAAATAGATGGTAAAAGGGGCAAATTGTTTTGGATGGGGACCTTTGGAGTTAGCGCACACTACTTTTACATCAAGCTGTAGATGTGCTTGTCAAAGCAGAATGAAGTTCAGTGTCTTGCTCAAGTGCACAACAGCACAAAAGGGCAGTATCGAACCTCGACCTACAGGTATGACACAATTGAGCGAATTAAGAGCAGGAGAAAATGATGTTGTGAATTAGCAGATGCTGTTAAAGTTCAGGGGGCTTTCAGTAAAGAAACTCTGTTTATATACGAGTAATTCACAATAGCAAATACATTTTGAGAGAAATTTCACTTGAATTACATCTTTTAAACTGACATAAATCATAAATCATTTTTATTGAACGTATCAATCAGCAAGTCCCAAAATGTTTATACAGAACGTACCTGCAAAATGTACAAGGACTACCGATGTATTTAATTAGTTTTTCCTACAATATGTGCTTGTAAACTACTTTTGTGTTGTGTTAGAGAACTCACTGTGTTTGGTTAGAGGGGAACTCCAGCACAGCCTATCAAGGTCAGTTTACAGGAATAAACCTCATACTGTATGTGAAATAAGTCAAACCTTTTGTGTCTCCAGAGGGAGCTGTCTGAAGTCTGCGTGTGAAGTGTTGGTTAAAGACTAAAAGTTTGAAATTGGAAAAAATCTGGGGGTGTGGAGTTAGAAATAAGGGATCTTACCAAACCCCTGCAGTAGGGTTGTAAGAAAATATTGAAAAATATAGTATTGTGATATTTTGTTTTGTGATATTGTATTGATTCTCAAAAACACTGTATTGATTTTTGTGTTTAAACCCCCAACCGCTAGATAGCAGTGTTGTAAACTGAGGGCTTTGATGTTGGATGTTACAGGGACTGTGAGAAATAACAAATGCAGATCAGAATGCAGATCAAGTTGCATAAAAAAAGTTCCCTTTTTTAAACTTCACATACACAACTCAACTACACAAAAAACACAGAGCTAGTGTTTATAGGCATTTAATGTTATATGTTTAAGTAAACTGACAATAAATACAGACATTTATATACATTCACAAGTGAGTTTTAGTTTTCAGAGACGCTCTGGCAAAAATAGGACCAGCGTGTGTAGTGTAGCGGAGAACAGACCCGTGATTGAAACAACACCAGCCGGAAAGTGTTGAAACAAGATCTGGTAGACATTGGCTTGAATTTAAAATATTCCAGTTTCATTTGATTCAAAAACATAATCACAAAAACGTCCGAAGTATTCTCTACCAGCAGCAGCACTTACCATAAATTATAAACAGGCATGAAAAGCAATAACTTAAGTTTATTTTTGTGCTGTGATGAAGCCTCTGATTGCTTTGGTGACAGCTCGATCAGGAACAGCAAGATCATGTTGTTGCAATTGGCACCAAGAGTGAAACTAAATAAAAAAGGTGCAGCTCACCAAAATAAAGTCCCTTGTGCCTTTTTCAGCTCCCGCTCCCTCCTCCTCTTCCTTCTCTCATAAAAGAGTGTGTGAAGATGACACTATCTTTATGTGTGTGTGTTTGTGTGTGTGTG